ATTAAATTAAATTTGTATCAACTAGACGGTAAAAAGTCGATATCTTTTGTCATCATGTCATATCAGAGTGTCAAGCAATAAGCAAATCTTATCGCATAAACAGATTGTGGGATAGAAAATAAATCTCATCTCTTACCAACATATCGCAACCATTCCATACTAAATTATAAGAACAATAATAGAAGCCATGGAAAAAAAAGCTGAAAAAAAACTTGTACAGGTTTTTGAACGTTATTAACGGTAATGTTCTGAAGCTATTTTCTTATGGCCTTTTAAATTAATTACTATTTAACTGGGTATAAGCCACAATTTAAGATAAAAATACGTTTACTGACGTTTCAATTTCCACTTCGGAAATCGTTCTCAAAATACAAACAGTAAATTAAACAAATTTTGTTTTTCGTTACATAGTGAAAAATTCTTCTAATAATTTAATTTTATCTGACTCATTTATATTGACAATTCAGACATACATTATGCATTTTAAAGTAGACGACTTTAAAATGATATTGCCAATATTGTTGAGTTGCGCTCCTGGGACGACTTTACTTATAAGATAGTTCATTCGATTACATGAAATCAACTTTAACTTGAGAATATCCGTCAGAAAATAAATCATAGCATGTAATTCGTCTTTAAAAAGACAAACACGTGACACGATGACAGTAAAATTCTCCTGTTAGTGATTCCATAGTAAATTATGAGGGAAAAACCAGAAAAAAACCTCATAATACTATCCCGACATGGTAAGTATTTGTTCGTGCATTTAGTTTACCTTCAATAAACACCAAAATTCTGATTTTATGTGTTTCGTTATTTAAAAAACAGAAATGATGTATCCTTTATGTCTATATGTTAGTGACTTACTAATACTGGTATTTTCTTATTAATAACTTCTTCTTTCAATATTGGTAACCAGATCCTACTACATTCTGCCGAGGAATTTGCGACACAATTGGCCTCATTTAGCATAATTAGAGCCGCTTCTTTGATTTTTCTTTTTTTACCATCGGTTTCTTTTAGGACTACATTTGAATTATTCCATTAAACCCTATGTTCATTATCCCATGCGTGTTTACATATTTGAGATCTATCAAATTCTTTATTTTTAATATAAGATTGATGTTCACTTATTCTAACATTTAACGGCCTTGATGTTTTACCTAAATAAAACTGATCGCATTCATAAGGTATTTTATAAAATACCAAACCAAACCTAACAATGAACAAAAAAGGACAAAGAATTGCATGTAAAATACCTTGTGAATGCGATCAGTTTTATTTAGTAGGTGAAACATCAAGACCATTAAATGTTAGAATAAGTGAACCAAATACCAGTACTGTTTTGAACAAATTATGTTCAACAACTTGTTTAAACACTTACCACTCTAAATCTTTGTCTCCTGATGAAGCTGACAAAAAATCAGCGAAATATACAGGATTAAAAGAAAAAGAGTTTAGAATTACGATTTACAAAGCTTGTATCATGTTTACAAAGCTTGTGTCGTAAGTCATACTTTTTACGATTTACGCTGGGAATTTTAATTTTAATACCAATACTAATTATATAACAATATATCAAGGATATGACATTTATCCAAATTCTCCAAAATATAAAACGTTCAGTGTGAAACATTCCAGAAGAAAATATTTTCAGAATCTTATTTACCGAATTTTGAATGTTTACAAAATACATCATGTGGAATTTTAAACATCTACAATCATTAAATTATTGTACTGCCAAATAAATTTCCGGTTATAATTTCCTACCCTTATACAAAGGGAATTCCATAAATTTCAAGGTAAAGCTCGTTATCCCATTTGATATTGAATATTTTCCGAAAACTGCGATCAATAAAGCCATTGAATGTAAACGTAGAATAACTAGGTCGGGTGCTAATTCTAACAAAAATATTCTATTCGGTTCTAATTATATTGACGACGGTAAACTTTTGGAACGATGTAAAATTTCATATTTAATAATTTTAAAAAATTGTTGATTTTTGTCTGCTTTTAATTGTGTAATAAAAAAGTATAGAAACGTCAAAGGAAAGATTTGAGAAAGAGATTTATACAATAGAATTACGAATTTTTTACTTACCGTAATTATTTGAGTTCCAGTCAGCAATTTTATCGTCTCAGACATTTATTTATCAATTTATACTTTACTTACTTATCTTTGGCTTACATATCACATTCTATATGCTGTTTACCAAACCCCAATCGCATATATATCTTCTTTAGTGAGATCTCCTTTTTCCATTGCTGTTTTTATATGTCTGTTCCATTGTAATCTAGGTGGTGTAGAGCTAGTTCGCGTCGATGGTAGAATACTACACGTGCACCGTAGGTAACGCTAAATGAACTAGCAAATACTGGCGGTTAGACAATTTGCAAAATTGAAATGGAGATTTCCCGGACACAATATAAGACAAAAAGAAGACCGATGGAACAAAATTCTTAAAAGTTGGAGTACGTGGGAATATAAACGAAGCAGAGGAAGCAAGCGTGGGCTCTAGGTGGATGACTGTAGCGACAGACAGAGAAGAATGGAAAAGGATTGGGGAGGCATATGTCCAAAGATGGACGGAAGAAGGCTAATTAGATAGATAGATAGATAATCTCAGGATCTCCTGACCAGAGACACATTGCAAATAATGCCACTAAACGTTATCAGAAGGCAAATTAACAATAATACAAATAGCCCTTCTCAGGACCCAACGACTAGAAAACTCGGACCTATGATACGAATTTGTCACTTAAATATACAAACCATATGCTATTCAAAGAGGCAGTACTTATTAAAATTTCTAAAAGATAACGACATCAATCTGGTCGCTCTACAGGAAACATACTGCGAAACAAAGTAACAACTGCGAAAAGGGGGAAAGACACCTGGCTTCGGATTACTGGGTGTCACGTACCACCGATCATACGCCACAGCAACGTAAGTTAAACAAAACATAGAAAACGCCGTCCTTGTTTCCAGGTGTACAAATGATGAAATTCACAATGTTGTAATGTTGTCAAAAATGGAAGTATCACTAGCAACACCTACAAATCACCAGCTATATCCTGGCCAGCTCGTCATCCACACATATCCGCACCCGTCAATATACATGAGGGGCTAAAACAGTCACTATGAGCAGTGGAAATATAAACAATGCAACAGCAATGGGAATACACTAGTAAAATGGGTGGAGGATAAACATCTATCATTTAATTTTGATGCTAAAGACCTACCTACATTCATGTCAGCAGCATGGAAGAAGGAGTACAATCCTGATCTATGTTTTGTATCTACTAATAAAAACGGGCAACCTCTAGTACTTCCTCGAAAAGTAGTGGAAGAATTCTCACACAGCCAACACTGCCCAGTGATCATAGAAGCAGGAACTCAGATTTCTATAATCACATCCATCTAAGGACCTAAAGAAAGCCATGTGAGGTAGCTTTCCTGAGGAACTGGTCAAGACCCTAGCTTGCATACCCCTACCATCAGAAATTTCAAAAGATTAGTTGGAGCCGTAATAAGCACGGCCAAAAATCATATAGCAAGAGGCTACCGAAAAGACATGGGAATCCGAGTGAACGGTGAATACATCAATAATATCCGCTACGCCGATGACACTCTATTACTAGCAACCAGCCTAAACGATCTGCAGGCCTTACTAGACCGAGTGGAGCTCCATTACATATTTTGGAGCTGGAGTAGACTTGTCTTAGTTGGTGGTAGCCCTAGGCACTTCATCGTTACTACTAGTACTTCCCAACTCTTTATATCCCTGTAAAGAGTCATTCGAAGAGCAAAAAAGTCATCGTCTTTATCGCTTTCTACCTTAAAATTCGACTCCAGTTCATGAAGGAGTTCATACATCCGATCTGGATTGGTTACAAGCTTTTTCAAGTTCAGTGTTCTAGTAGACTCTACAAAAAGCAAAAATATTACAGTCCTGATCTCTTCTTTTCTGTGTGTGTTGGCTCCCAACTGTTAGATTTGTGATACCACTTTAAAGTACGCGCATTAAAAAACCTTAAAATATTTTGAAATACCTTTACATTCAAAACCCTATATAAATTAATTTTAGGTGAAACCCACCTTTATTCGCCATCACAATTTGTAAAAACACATAAAAACATTAAAGCTGGTATTGCAACTAGAATTCCAACGTCATTATGGAAACTAAATGAATTATGTGCAATGAAACTGGTAATACATATCAAACACAATCATATCGTATCAGTGCGAACAAGTTAATATACAATTTTGATTCATATTTCATGTTTAAAAGATCCACACAATTGTGATTTCCTGGGGCGAAAGGGATATAGGCAGAATGGATGTGCTATCATCCATTACCAAATCGAGTATAGTAGATAATATGAAAATGCTGCACAAAATTACTGACAGAACCATATTATGTAAATAAAATTTTGTGTAATTACTTTTCTAATCTTAATTTTACCAAAATTTTTAAAAACAATTTTATTTTTTTTAATTTGTTATAAAAATCTGTTGAAAACAGTGACAGGTACAAAATTGAGTAGTTAGTTACAAGTTACAGATTAATTTAACCATAAATGTTCAGCTTTTTTGTATGACAGATAAACATATTCAAATTAGTGTTGCAGGCGTTACCGGATGAAATTCAGTCACGGTCGACACGGGGTGCATTCTTCCTGTTGCTACTGTGTTCGGTGCTGCCGGCCTTCCTGCTACGACGAGCAGTGCGTTCCTGAAGTGGTAGTGGTAAAAATTCATGTAAAAATTGGCCCAGTTATGATGTGCTCCAGCTACCGTGTTCAGAATCGCCCGTCGCTAGTGCACGTGAACAAGCGAATGTGGAACTTAAGCTCCGTTCGAATTACGCTAAACGATACACCGACACGCGACCGGTTCGTTCGGTATACTTACCGCATGTGCAATTTCCTCGGCGCATGTCACTTATTTGTCACATGACAAGGTTTGTAAACACTATTCTGTTTGATATTTGACATTCAATTTCAACATGGCGTGTTCTGTTATCAGTGATAAACACTAGAAGGTGAGTTTTTGATTTATTTTGTATTTATAATGGTCTCAGTTGGCTTTAAACTATACAAATAACTAAATCGATATATGTTTTACTCGGACCACGCGTTGTTAATGTAAATTGGTAGCGGAAACATTAACAATTTTATAAATCGATCGTTTTACCTGAAATTACTGCTTAGGTGGCTAGACAGGAAATTTTACGCATAAAATCGTGAGGTTAATTTGAAAATTTGTCGCGCGCTGACAGCTACAACAACAAAATTTGATTAGACCCATTGTCACAGACCTTGGCGCACATTATTTGAATTGTGTTTAATTTTTTTGATAGTCCCGTTCTTGTACTCTCGTTTGTTTTGTCAATAAAATTGTCTACAGTTTCAAAACAATTTAATGTACCTTAGAAACAAAACAGTTTAGCGGTGTAAGCTTATTTCAACGAAGTGACACGCTAGGTGCGCAGACTAACTTGTTATTTTCTTTATATTTTTAGTTTTGGTTGCAAAAAATGTTTTGTGTTACGGTATTAAATGTGAATAAAAATAGTTCCTGATTACCTTTTACTGCTAATTGCTGATGGACATTTTCTTCAGTGTTTTTTTAATACACTTTTGTTTACATTATGAATAGACACTTCATTCATTTCTATAGGTCCTGATAAGAGGAAAATAGTGACTGTAGCTAAGATAATCTTGTCATGAATGTATCCCATTTCTCTTAGACTTTTGAGTCTAAAAACAGTAAAGAAAACAAATTGCCTTATGTAAACCATCTTCAATTTAACTATTTTTTTTAACTTATTTAAGTTTTTAATTGCTAATTGCTAATGTGTTTGCTTATAAATCTGTTTTTTTGGTTCTTACCAAAATAACATTTTATATTTTGTTACTTATTTGTTCTTCTGTTCTTCTTTATGACTTTCGATTCTTTCTACTTGTGATACGCTGATTTGCTTTCTTTCAATGACTACATTTTTCACTCGTTGTTTTTATTGTCGTAATTATTTCCAGCTTCTTATTTTGTTTTGTTTTCTTTTGTCTTATAAATTACTATTAAGCTTCTTTTTGTTTACCTTCATCTGGAGCATAAACGCCAATACTTTTTCATATTGTTTATAATTATTATTGTAATGAATTAACTTCAGTTTTTCTCTTGTAATTTCTGCTTGAGTATGGTGAGTATTTATTACGGCTTTTCCTCCACTACTCTACTAATACTACTATTATTTTTAACATGTTTAACTGCGTGAGCACACGCAACTTTTTATCGTATAAAAAGGTTCTGAAACTTCGTCTTCTTCTTGATGTTGCCTATCCGTTACGAATGTTGGCGATCATCATGGCAATCTTTATCTTTCATGCAGCAGCGTAGAAAAGCTGCACAAATGTTGTATTGGACCAGATTCTGAGGTTCTTTAACCAAGATGTTCTTCTTCTTTCTGTACCTCGTTTTCCAAATATTTTTCCTTGCAGTATCTGGATTCATTTCGCGTATGTCCGAAGAATTGTAACTTTCGAGATTTGATGATGGTCAGTACCTTTCGGTTCTTCTGAGGACCTCCTCATTTGTGACTCGGTCAATCTACGGGATCTTAAGTATTCTCCGATATAGAAACATCTCAAATGCTTCCAGTTTTCTGCACATATCTTCGTTCAAGGTCCACGATTCAACACCATAAAAAAGAACAGAGAAGACGTAGCATCGCAGGGTTCTTACTTTTGTATAAAGAGAGAGGTTGTGACTGTTGAAGAAGGCTCCCATCCGATTGAAAGTGGATCTAGCTTTTCCGATGCGCGCTCTAATCTCCTGGTTGTTATTCCATTCTTCATTTGTTATGGTCCCGAGGTAGTTATAATGTGCCACTTTTTCTACAGGGGCTTGGTTGTCTTAGAGTTGACCTTCTGTTATCCTTTTCTTGCTAATTATTATACGCTTTGTCTTAACGTTTATATTGAGTCCATATTGTTGACTGTAATGGTGTCATCTGCATATCTGATATTGTTTAGCCGGTAACCATTTAGTAGAATACCTTTTTCAGTTTCGTGCAAAGCTCCGATAAATATTCTTTCAGAGTACAGATTGAAGATTAGAGGAGACAAAATACAGCCTTGCCTCACTCCACGCATGATTTTCACATAGTCCGTGTGGTCACCTTCAACTCTGAGATTTTCTATCCGATTCCAGTAAAGATTTTTAATTATTTTTAGATCTTGGTTGTTAATTCCTGCTTCTTTTAGTATTTGCATCATCTGGGCGTGCTGTACTCGATCAACCGCTTTTCGTAATCAACCAGACATGCGTATACGTCGCAGTTGACGTCTCTGCAACTCTGGAATAAGACTTGTACCGAGAACAAAGCCTTTCTAGTACCAATAGCATTTGTGAATCCGAACTTTCACACAGCTTGTATTCACATAGTATTTCTTTAGAGTTGTATGTGTTGTCGAATATCTTTGCGATTTTTTTTTGAACCTATTCTCTATCCTTCCATTGTCTCGCCCAGTTCTCTCCATCTTTTCCTATCTTGAGCTGTTCTCTGCCATATGAGACCTCCTTGTTTCCTGATGTCATCTTTCCACCTCATCTGTGGTCTGCCTCTTGATCTCTTTGCATTGTATGGACGCCACTTTCCAATGGCATTGTTCCATCGTCCTTCTTGGAGACGTTCATTTTCCACCTTTCACGTTTTACTGCTTGTTCTTCGCGTCTATTGTCTTTGTTCTGGTCCTGATCCACTGGTTACGTTTTCTATCTTTAAGTGATATACCCAACATTTGTCTCTCCATCGCTCTTTGTGCCTTCCTTATCCTATCCAAATTGGCCGGTGTAAATGTCCATGTCTGTGCTCCATAGGTGAGCACCGGTATTATACAGGAGTTATATATCTTGCTTCGTAAGTATAGAGGGATTGTTTGATTTTTTAGAACGTAAGAAAGTTTGCCGAACGCTGCCCATCCCATTCTTACTCGTCTCGATATTTCGGCTGTTTGATTTTCTCTGTTAGCTCTGATTGCTTGTCCTAGATAGATATACTCATTTACCTGTTCTATTTTTTCTGTTTGTATTTTTATTGCCTCTTGGTCTTCCGTGTTTGTCATTACTTTTGTTTTGTTGAAGTTAATTTTTAGGCCTTTTTGCAGTGATTTTTCATGAAGTTCATTCAAGTACTTTCGGTTAATACATATTCTCTGTTTTCCCAATCTGTTGATTTTATTATATCTTCGAGGGTCAAGGTAAACAGTTTAGGTGAAATTATATCGCCTTGTCGGACTCCTTAACTTTTATATTATATATATATTCTTCTTAGTCGTTAACCTGATGCAGGTATCGTGATATCATGAAGCTGTTAGGTAATTTTTCCAATGTTCCTCCACGTTTTTCTATCTTCTGCCAATCTAGCACATTCTGACAATGGAGCGCCAATGGTAGCAACAATATGGTCCGTGTATCGTGTAGGAGATCTACCTCTACTTCTTTTGCCTTCTACTTTTCCCTGGATGGTAAGTTTTTCAAGACCATTTCTTCGAAGCACATGTCCAAAATAGCTTATTATCTGTTCTGTTATTTGTGTTCTTAGTCTTTTCTTTATGTTTAGCTGGACCAGTATGGATTCATTTGTTCTTCGGGCCACCCATGGTATTCCTCAGCATTCGTCTCCAGCAGTACATCTCAAATACATCTATGTTCTTTTTGTCTTTCTCAGTAAGGGTCCAGCATTCCGATGCATAAGTAAAAACTGGAAAAAACTAGACTTCTTACTAGTCTCATTTTTGTATCGGTAGTAATTTCATGGCTTTTCCAAATTTTTGTTAATTTTGCCATAGCGCTTTTTGCGATTGCTGACCGCCGCTTTATTTCTTCAGTACAGCCTCCTTTGTTTGTTATTAATGAGCCCAGATACACAAATTTATCTACAACAGCGATATTGTTTATCCTAACCAGATGATTTTGATTGTTGTTAGCTCTGTCAATTATCATGATTCTCGTGATAATTGACAGAGCTAACAACAATATATATATAATATATATATATATATATATATATATATATATATATGTATATATATATTATATAATATTATCCGTACATATTATCCGTTATTAATTTGTCGTCCAGAATTACGGTCATGGTTGCGTTTTGGTAAATATCATGTATCAATAATTGTCGGTATCTTGAATCTATGATATTATTGACCAGAGCTTTTTCATCCAAACTTATAAATGATTTATTAAAATATAAAATAGCAGCTCCTTAGAATATGCTACATTATTATCACTTGGCTCTGTAGATATTTACAACTCTTTAATAAAAATTTTAAAAGACAGCAAATTATTAGTAGTAATATCCCTAGGACATTGATAACAGACGAGATAATTTCATGACAATCGAAAGCTCGTTCCTTGCTCGATCACGCAGTCCCATGCGTGATTCTCGAACAAAAAAAAAAAAAAATAAATTAAATTAATGCCATTTTCTATCAGTCTTCTAAATCGTTGGTCTTGGTTTTTGTTCTTGTGCTTGCATTTTGTATTTCTGGATCCCCACTTTTGTCAGATTTATATATAAATTGGTAATAATTGTACTGACTATTTTTATCGAGTTTTTATGTAATTGAAACACGCCAAGATTATAGTTAACATAAAAAAAATTGTTCCACGTGACCTTAAAAATCAACAAAGAAATTGACATGACTTTTATATAAAAAAATCAGAATAAGCTTGCGACAATGACACACAAAATTAACCATAACATTGCGTTAATTGCTGCTAAATTACTTAATTGATATGAGTCTAAGTAAAAGCCAGGTGCAGTAAGGATGCATTTGTTTTTATAATATGTTGGTCATTACTGGTCATGTAAAACGATATGAAGTTGATTCATTGAAGAGTTCTTGAAAATTATTTGTTTACAAATCGTCGTTTATTGGTTGTTTAAAACCAATAGCAGACGTAAATGTAAAAAGATTTGAATTAAGTTACTATTTGTTCAAATAACACCAGTTACAAAAAAAA